ACTCTCTCTCTCTCTCTCACACACACACACACACACACACACTCACACTCACACTCACATACTCTCTCTCTCTCTCTCTCTCTCACACACACACACACACACACACACACACTGACATACTCTCTCTCTCTCTCACTCTCACACACAACAGACACACACACACACACACACACACACGCACACACATTCTCCTGTCAATTGATGGGGAGCGCCACCTGCTGGAAACTGGGTCAAGCGTCCCATGAACATCGTGAATAAAGCACCAACGGGGGCCTCACACACACACTCTCTTCGAGTTGTGTATAGCGAACATGACAAAACATACATACAGCATAATCACTACCTTGCCCTTCCCGAACCACATCAACAAAATTATGGGCTGCGCACCCGTGCCCTCACGGTAAGTCAATCGGGTTTTGGGGAATATTTTTTATGCTGTGTGCCAGCGTGTGGGCAAGTTTGAGTGTTTGGGACCCATGCTGACGTGTGTGTGAAAATCAATGTGCATGCTGTAAGATATGGAATGACCACTTGAATTGGGAGGGACTTGGAATGGTCTGTTCTCTGCAATGACGCCTACTTGCCATTTATTGACAGGTGATGGAGTTGAGGAGCTGTCGCTCGCGGACCGTGCGACGATCGCAAACATGTCTCCTGAGTATGGCGCTACGATGGGGTTCTTCCCCGTCGACGGCAACACACTGGAGTATCTTCACATGACTGGTAGAGACAAGTCGAAGGTGAGGGGCCTGATCGATTTCGCCTGGAATATGGCCTGGTACTACCGTCTTCCCCCCAACACAACGCACCCCCTTTTTGTCTGTATCGGGCCGGAAACATACCTTGTATACGTCCGTTTTCAGGGTGCGTTATGTTGGGGGGAAGACGGTAGGCTGGTAGTGCTGTTGGAATGCTGTTCTTGGCTGCTTGATTTGGAAAGGGAAGGTGTCCGCAGGGCATGCCAGGGGTAGTGTTAGTGAGATGGTAAATTGGTGGTGTTCCCTCTATCGCTTTGTTAATGGTTGTCGAACTTCGAAGTGAAAATGTCTTGCTGAAACGTAAGGGAGCGTGGCAGAGGACTGTCGATGTGTTGATGTTGGGTCCTCGAGTTTGTACAATGTTTTTCTGACTTTTTTGAATGAACTTTTTCGCGGTGAAATCCTTTATGTGGTCGTGATTGCTGATACCATCCACGTAATCATGTCATGTAATCCACTCCTTGAGAGCAGCCGCAAGCACTGTAGAGCAGAGGAAATATCTCTCTCCCTCTCTCTCTCCCTCTCTCTCTC